AATAATACTAAACTTAAACTTAGTGAAAATTATTATTATTTTAACAAAATCTCTATAAAGTTTATGCTTTTGTTATAATTCGTCAAACCTTAGAAAAAACATAATAAAGATCGATTTAATCATTTGGTGAGCACAGTATCATACTAACATTACACTTAAAGCTTCCTCTGATTAAGTTTAAAATTAAATAATGCCAAAAATATACTTCATGATTCTTAACGTTTGTAGACGACCTTTAACCGGTCGTCTACAACTTGAAAAGATTCATTTATAATTTGAGATCCACAAACGTTAAAAAAAATGAATTCAATGCAAAAGCATTTACAATACTCTGTACGATTAAGGTAATATATTTCATTTAGTTCCCGAAACATTTGGTTATCCTATTGTTATTATAATCGCCTTCATTTATATTTTCCGGCACTTTGGCTGTATATTTAACGCTTTCGCCCCTCAATTGTGTAATGTACTAGGGCGTTTCTCTGGTAAAAAGAAAAATTATGCACTTGTCATTAATGGAAATATCAACATTTTGTCCAAAGTCACGCTAAATTATACATTGATTGACGTTTGACTACAATTAAAAACGGTGTATAATATCCAGGATGAGAATACCATTTATTTATCGCACATGGATTACCGGGCCTTTTGAAGTAAATTTATTTAACCACCATGAACATTCCTAGCTATTGTATTACATGTCCTAATCAGGGCAAAACTTTTTTAATTGAGTTTCTACAGAGGTGGCGGCTTAAAATACGATTTGCCCGCATACTTTGTGTAACAATGTAAATTACTATTATCTACGTGAAAGTATAACACAAGGAAATTTGTAAAGAATATAAACTTTTTATCGTATTTGTAAATTGTAATGATTACTAAAAATGAAAATTCAACTGAGAGGTTCTTTAAAAAAGTATCAAATGTTTCTTTAAATCATAAATTAATGATAATATTCAGCCGTTATTTATGAATATCAAAATTATACTATTTTTTATATGAAAACTTTACAAAAAGTACTTAGGATTAATTGGATCTTCTTTTGTAGTAAACTAAAGAAAAATAAAAGCCGTGTATGCACTTTTCTTAGAATCCTTTTGGCTCTTAGTTTTTGGCAATAAGAGTAAAGAGTTACCGATCTGACGTTTTACTTATTTTATTTTCTAGTTCTTTTACAATAATGGAGACCGGATATAAACAGTGGCGCCACATACACATTCCATTCATTACCGTGCTATATATTCTTTTCAAATGGGTTTCTCTCATGTAACTTTTCCTAATGCTTTTCTCAACTCATTCATTTCGTTAGTTTCATCTGTACATTAATTTTTTATATTCAATTGAAAAGTCTTATGGGTATTTTTAATAATATATCACCAAATACTTTATCAATTTAAAGTGACCAATAATTTCCAAAATATTTACTAATATTGTTAATAAATTTTTATAATGCATATTTTTAATCTAAAATTATTATCTGCCGTTTCTATAAAGTTTTAATTTAATTTAAAAAAAACTCTCTCTCTTTTAAACATTTTTTTTATCGTCATGATTATTTATTTATTTTTAATTACTTTGCAACTGACTATAATTTTGTTATTACGATAATATTTATTGAACGAATTTAATCAACATCAATTTTTCCTTTAACATTAATGTTAATTTGCGAAAATAGAACCGAAATGCAATCACCTAAACAATAGTCGACTGTTGTGAAACATTTGTTTTTGACAGTCGAAATTCTTTTAAGTTCTTAAGTTATATTATTTGACAATCTTAATTTACATTATAATTTTGTATTTAATTTGAATATTGTTACCATGTAGCAAATGTTACCGAGATTTTGATTAAATAAATCATAATTCCTATAACTCAGATTATGTATAAACTCTCTAGGTAATCCATATTCCTCACAGTGCATAAATACATTTACTAAATACAGTTTCTTAAAAAGTTAATTTTTTTTTATTGTCAGTCATAAAAATTTCATTTTAATACGAAATTAACTAAATAAGTTAAATGCATAAAATTAAATTTAAAAATGTTAATATTTAAACAACAAACTCACTTGTGTATAGTTTTCATCAGTAGCTAACTGCATTCAAACCTTTTCCAATGAAAATCATTTTACATTCTAATATTATCATGTATGAAAACCTGCAAAAATGTATTTTCTTAATTTTTTTAATGTGTTTTATACGAGTATAAAAAAGAAATCAGACTTAGCTATGGGGCGCTCACGATATACCGCAGTGAACCGTACCACTATAATCGTCGGTAAAATGGATCATAATTTTTATTTTATAGCTTTAAGATGAAAATATATCAAATAAAAACTCTTTTGATATCGTTTATGTTGAATAAAATATAATGGTTATCAATCACGTAGAATTCTTTACTTTTTATATTCATCACTATGCATTATAATAATTAATAACTACTTAGTATGTTTAAAAATTAAAAAGAAAAAACAATAATTTTCCATTTAAGGCTTAACAATGTGATAAGAAAATTTCACTTAGAATCAATACTCTAAAGTTGAAATCCCTCGTATAAATTTTCCCTTTATTGACGAATGAAAATGGACAGTACTTACAAAATAAAAATAATTTTGCTGGAAAAATGCCAAATTCAATGAAGTTTAATCATTTTTAGTCTTATACTTAGGTTGTTTTCAAATAAGTCAAATCAAAAAAATAGATATTATAAAAATGTATACTTTTAATCTTTGTCGCTAAATATAAAACGTTATTTCTTAATAACTAGCAATTTTCAATATATTTTATAACTTATAAATACAAAATAGTTGGGTTATAATTATTTGGAACATTTAATTATTGCAATCTCGGTCATCAAATTTATCGGACTATAAATATGTTTTGAATTTCAACACAAATAACATTATTAAATAAACTATAACAATATAACCGTTTAAAATTTCAAATAAGTTATGAGCCAAATCTGACCGTACTACAAAAATAGCTACCCTCTAAATTAGTAAACCATTCTATATGTTCTTACAAAGATACTTAAGAATTATGTACTGCAGTTAAGAAAAATAAATATCTTTTTGTGCGTCTTATATTAGGAAAATATTTTGTATTTGAGAATATTGCTTGTATGTTATAAGAGTAAAAATGTTTTTGAAGTTTCATCATACAATCGGAATTCCAAGATTTTTCAATAAGCACTAAAATTATTTACCTTAATATTAATAATAAATAAAATTATAAAACGTTTGACATTCCATATATATTATATATAAATTAATAAATTTTATGTATAATACCATGCAAATAATATAAAAAATATATTAATTTCCTTTTCATAATAAATAAAAATTATGTCCTTACATTAAACACACATGGTGTCTTGAGGGGTTATCAACACTGATGAGTAGTTATAACCTTTAAGGCTAACATCAACAAGAGAAACTAAACATTTGTATCGTTGTTGTTGTTTTACTTCCTACCCTGAAGCCGCTTAATGCACACATATAAATACATTCAAACTTCATGTAAAGTTTAAATCTTTTTTAGTCGTATTTGACTGATCACTTAAATCTAGTTTTCGAGTTTTATTAGAAAACGTACACGCTTAACATAAATTTCATCGACCCCAGTCACAATAATTTTACCCTTAAGACCATCTGTTGTATATTTACACAATAACAACAACATCGATCAAGATAAAATTATTTTTAATAACTACGAACTGTTCCTCTGAAATCTACATGTTTTAATTTACATAGTATTCAAAAAAATCGAATTCCTATTATAATTTATCTATGAATATACAATTATTATATTAAAAACAAAAGGAATATATATAAAAAATTAATTTTAGTGTTACTCACATCGGTGGATTTTTAATATTTTTCTAGAAAAGTCTTAAAGAATATAAATATTGATATATGCTTTATATTCTTACCTTATATTACGACTATTTTTACGGAAGAATAAGAGTGATAAAGCCATTTCCATTAGATTTCCCATTAGGGAAATAGATATAATGTGACTATGTATTTTTGAGAGATAGTAAAAGATATTTTAATGCATTTCCTCCAAGACAAAATCCTGAGAACACAAATACTCTAAAAATTATATAATATATAAATGTCCACTACCCTATGACCCGTAAATTCAACACTGGTTATACTGATATTTTCCCATCAATAACATTACAGTTTAAAATCAAATATAAGTTCATTGTACTGATATATTTTCTCGATTACTATATAATTTTTTTAATTTATTAAACAAAATAATTTAGTGTAGGTTTTTATTAATTTATTTATCAGAATTATTTGACCAATATAGAATGTTGAAAAGCATTTTTATCAGACAGAAAAAAAAGAATACCATAAAACACTTTTTTTGTACATTTTTTTCTTTGAATTTAATTTAATTGTATATATATATATATATATATATTAGTATAACTATATTGTTTCTCAGACTAAATAATGATCTCTTGTAGATTTACGGTTATGGATTTTATGACCCTACTGGTAATAGTATCTCGATTAATTAGGCATGTTTACGGTTTAACATGCTTTAAACACTTACGATTTTTTTTTAAATAGAATTACAATCAAATGAAACAGTAATTTACTGTTATAGCTTAGTATATATGTAGTAAATAACTTAAATATTTAAAAAATATTTTATTATTAAGACTCCAACATAAAAATAATCCCTATCTTTTTTTAAGCTTTATAAAGAAAAGTGAAATTATTGGAATTATGATCATGCGTAGAAAAATTTAGTCTTAAAATACTTATAGATTTTTTTTGTGAAACAAAATTTAAATATTAAAAACATTATAAAATTTTATATAAATTTTTTTATCCGATTTTCAAACTAATGATATTTAAAAAAAATATTCAATTATATTGACTAGGTATCAATTGATAAAAATTCTATACATGATGTTTCAATTAGATTATCTTATTAATTTTGTAATAATTATTTTATTATTATTATTTTTTTTTTTTTCAGGTAATGAAATTTGTAACAGTTCAATCAATTTTACTGGTAAAAATAGAAAATAATCTTTCTTGTCAGATATTTGTACAGATCCATTCTTTTTTATATTGCTTTAATTTCCCAAGAACCCTTCCAATTTTTTATTTTGTATAGTTCATGCTTGAATTATCGTCAAAGCTTTCTTCAGTATTACTGAAACGACACAGAACACAAAAAAAGTCTCATTAACAAGAGATTGTTTATAATTGCACACTAAAAAAGGGAAAATATTGTCAAGTACTTCCACGTCTACCTTATACTACTGTATAGTCATTATAAAGTGCTACCAATGTTTTATAAGTGCAATATAACCGTCGGATGAAGAACGTCTACACTATGTTCCACCATCTACCTTTTTTAAAACAAATAAAGCCTTCTTTTGTCAAGTCTTATAAATTATCCATACAATATTGGCATTATAACAAATACTATAGTATTTGCTATAAAACTCTTAAGACTCTTGTCAACAAATATTTGTTTCAATTAAATAATATCGTATATAATATATTATTTAACTTCATCAATATAAATATTAATATCTTATTTTATATACACAAAATACATTTTAAAACTATTGATTAAGAATTAATTTTCTATATTTAATGATAAATTATTCTAGCCCCAATAAATATATTGGAATTTTCCGATGATACATTTGTAAATTACACTAAATTAACTAAATGATTTTTCTAAAGTTCTTGGATGTCTATATTCTATGTATTTATAGTTAATGTATAAAGCACAGGCAAAGTATATAAGTGATCATTAAGATCGGAACCAAACGTTTTCTAAACCCAAATTTGAATAGCTAAATTAGAGTGACAAACTATGTTAAGCGATAATGGATTTTAAGAGCAGTGAGAGAGTGGAGGAAACGCATCTTGAATTGATGAACTTTTAATAAACAGAGAGCGAATACATTAAGGCTCATTATTTGGTGAATAGTAAGCGAACAAACAAAACTTGTTGCTGTATATGTCATTAAGTTTATCAATTATGTATATCAATGTAAAGGTAAACTGCGTTTTTTGTTGAGCAATAAAAAAGTTTAAATACAAAAAAATAATTAAATTACAAAGAATTGCTAAATTTTGATATTCATATATTATACTGAATTACAAAGTTTAGTGAGTTTTCGAATTAAACTCTATATCTATGATGATTCTAATTTACTTAACATTTAAACATGTAGCTTTCTTATTTTTGATCTTATTATCATTAATTTTAGTTTCAGAATTCATATTTTAATTGCATTCCAACAACGTATATAACTATAATTAGCAACAAAAATACAGTAAATGTATTCACTGAATATATACAGTGTGATTTATTAAATATACTACCCCACCCATTTTTTATTAAATAATGATTTTTTCATAAAAATGTATAGATTAAAATTTAATTTAATTTAATGAACCATTATAAGTCCAAGTTTATTAATAAAAAAAATTATTGTTAAGGTTATCGGAGTAACTATCGAAAGTTAAATGGAAACATATTATTATTTTTTTACTATTATGTGAAAAATATTATAAATAAAACTTTGACTGGACAATAACCATCTATGTAATATTACTCTTTGTGTTAATGTAACTTTTAATAATAAAGGATTGAAGTGGGCAACATAGAAGAATTCTTATCTATGCGTTATCATTAAAAATAAATCATCACTAAATACTGCCCCGCTCTTCATCTTTTCAAAATCTTCAAAAGTTAATAATACAAAACTAGTTATCGTCCAGTCAACATAAAATAGTAAAATAATAATAATTTGTTCCCATTTAACTTTCGAAATTTACCCCTAATATCTACCCTTAGGAATAATTTTTCCTTGCAATAAATTTTATATTTATTTTGGATTATAAAAATGAGTGATGGAAAATATCGAATAGTAACTATCAAACTATTCGATAGGCATTCAAAACTATTGGATAGTATCAAATTTTCGAAAATGACCATCACTAATAAAATTTAATTAAACTTTAATCCATACATTTTTACAAAAATATTCATTATTTAACGAAAAATAGAGAGTATTATACTTAATAATTCATACTGTATAATATAATGTTCCAGATGTGTATTATATTATACACATTAATAGATTCTTCAACAAAAATGATGATTTTTTATTTTAGATTTATTTATGAAATATTTAAAAGTGGATCGTTATTGAAATATTTTTCTTAGTTTTTTGAAGATTATCACTTTTTTCCAACGAATGAAAAAATAATATTACTTAAAAATGATATTAACAACAAAAATAACTTTTTGTACAAAATCAATTGAAAAAATAACGCTTGAACCGATTATTAAAAGTTTTTTTTTTCAGATCTGACTAGAAGTAATTTTGAAATTCCTTTTTTTATCGAAAGATCGGATAGTATATCTGTTTACATTTTATTATTGATATATCAATTATTATTTAAATGAGATTAAATTTATATTGTTGTAGCTCAAGTTTAGTGGAAAACTTTTTCATCTACCATAAAACAGTAGTTACATAATTTTGGAAGTAATAATTGTTTTAATATCGTGACTTAATTTTTCTTTTTACATTTATTTACAAGAAATCCGAATTATCTCAAAAGCTTACAAGTTTGTTAAAACATTTATAAAAATAATAGCTTGTAAAACAACGCTTAGAAATGCGTTACTCTAGAATTAACGTCATTGTTTTATATCCAAATTTATCGTCTCTTTAGAGCCTACAACAATATTTAAAGGAATAAAACACAAAAAAGTCGTTTCGTTAGTAATTCCAAGGTGTGTAATTAATAGGAACAATTCACACCCTTCAGTCAACCGTTCCTCTTCTTTTTATGATTATTGCATTTACATAATTTTTAGAAATGTCTGACTCTTCTATATCTAACGCATAATGTAAAATGAACGTGATTTTTATCATTTTTGAAAAGTAAAAAAAAAATGTACAGAACATAATATTTTAATTAAACGACAAAAAAACTATACTCGCATTTATTTAGCTTTTTTTGTCAAGCATTTCTAAAAATTAAATATTCAAAAGTAAAATTTAAATGAGCTGTAGTATTTTTAATTAGCAGTTACCTGTGAATAATTATCTTTTTTCCTAGAAGTTATTTTATTTTTAATTACACGAAATAAAGTTTTAAATGAGCCAATTAATAAATAATTTAGCATATAAAGATATTTTTCAAATAATTGTTTTTTTAATAAATTAATTATTGTCACTAAATTTATTGAATAAATTAACTTATTTATAGATAAATACTATTATGGTATTAAAAAATAAATATTAGTTCACTGAAACATTCGCATATTTTAGTAATTTATTCCTTGCTGACGTTAAAGTTTACAAAATTTAGATACTGTCTTTTTAATGTTGTATAATTTCTTATCGTATGTTACTTTAAATTATTGACCGTTGTTCATTAATGTCGTGTAAAGATTTTAAATCTATTGACTATTAAAAAATACTGATTTCAGTAACTCTTAATATTTTACAAGACTTTTATTGCGAGTCACTAGTTAAAGATGTTTTACGTTTCTTTGCTCTATTAGCGGCACTATGATGCTACTAAATTACTAAAATTTATTCTAGTAGCTTCAAGTATAAAATTCACTTAATTATATTTTCATATTCAACAGAATAAATACGTGTATTTTCTACTTTGAAATTGATATAAAATTTGTCTCGTAAATACTTCCATGTGCAAACCAGCTAACGATATTTTCTACTATTTGACAAGAACCCTCCCGACTTCTATTGTATTAGTATTAAGTAGAACGGACAACATCCAAATGTAGAGGGAAAAAAAGGAGTCCTTATATAAAATGAGTCACTAAAAACACTATGACCCATTGTGTCTATCCCCTTTTTATTCATTTAAACCCAATGATTTTAGACGTTTTAACTCACCACCTCCATAGGATCACAAATCATTAGTATACTATTGTTTTCTAGAAATGTGCAAAAATATTATACATATTTAAAATTTGAGATAAAAAACACCGTGTCTCTGCATAACTCAATAGTGTTCAATATAATATTTAAAATAATTATAGCTTCTTTACTTATTTACGAGCTAATCATTGAAATTAAGAGCAGTAGCACTAACACTTACACTTTAAAACAACAAGTTAATCCTAACAGTTTGTTTCAAAATCATTAATAATTAAAATTATATTTTTTCTCCATTTACTAAACTAAATCTATTCAACTTTTTCAAGTAATTTATTTTATATTACGTTCAATCTCCGTTTAGATTTTCATAAGATAACTTTAATGGAAAGAGAATAGTGAAAATAATGCCTGTGGAGCACCGCCAATGTCCATTTTGATTCGTACAGCAAATTGCTTTTTCGGGGATATTTATTATTATACTTATTTTATCTAAACTCCACTCGAATAATGTGTTAGCGCGAATTTGTGGTATAACGGTCAACGGCAGCAGGTCGACTTCACCCCTGGTTTGAACTGTACCGGTACATACGCCGTAGTGATAAAAATTAAACTGTTACCTCTCCTCAAATTCGTATGTATAAATACATTAAACCTACACTAGTGTATATGAGAATATCCTTTTCCGGCAACCACATGTGTGCGTACATTATATGCTGTTGCAATTGTTGTCACCGGGGCTTGGGACCCCACCATTTTCATCTCCTACCATGTTTGATTTACAGACCCAAAAGCCCATTATACTTCTAATTCAAACCCACTTGAATTGGAATACTCTTTGCCATAAGCGTACTATAGGGTTGAAAAAGTAAAACCGAATTCAAATACAAAATTTGTAATTAGCTTCAATAAGTGGGAAAGTGCAAAATAATGTAATTAAAATCACAATTTTTACATTTGTCAATGTTTATGATATCAATTTAAATAATTTTTTTGACAAAGAGTGCTTAACATAATTTATTAAAAAGTAATAAATGTATTATTCAATAAAAAGATTATCAATTATACATTTATTCTATCTAATCAATGAATGGAAACATTTATTATGTATATACATAATTAATAT